TGGAAAAATAAGACATCCCCTGAAAATAAGACCTAGCACATCTTTGGGAGCAAAAATTAATATAAGACACTGTCTTATTTTCGGGGAAACAGGGTAGTTCATTTTAAAAACTAAATCACTGCCAGTGAGTTGATTCCTATTCAGAGACCCTGGGTATAGGGCAGAGTACGACAGCCCCCTCAGTTTCTGAGGCTTTAAATCTTTGCAACATCAAAAATCCTCCTTTTTCTCCCACAAAGCAGTTGATGGTTTTAAATTGCTGACCTTGTGGTTAGTGGCCCAGTGCATAACCCACTGCACCACCAGGGGTTTTAGTATGTTTGGGATCCTAGGAAAATAACCTTCTCTTCCCTTCCCTGAACTTACTGCCAAAATTCCATGCTGCCTGGTGTTGAAATACCCAGCACGCTGATTAAATACAGAAATTCATTAGGAAGCAAGGTTACAAAATTGAAGAGCAAAATTTTAAACAAAATATTTTTTTAAGTAAATATACATATTTCCTAGGGGGAAAAACTCATTTTAAATATAAAGACACAGGTAGATTAAAAGTAAAAAGATAAACAAAGGTATACTATGCTCTTATAAATACAAGAAAGTTTAGGTTGGAGCTGTGCCGGAAGGGATAGATAGATGACCCTATACTTTCTGTACCATTTTTCTGAAATAGACTATGCAGAAAGAATTTCAACATGGAAAACAACATAAAATTTTATTGGCTTTTTCAATTTGGCATAATTTCTTTCTTTTTAAAATCAAACATTGAGCAAGTTGACCAGCAATTAAGAACAGTAACATTGGAGACAGATTGCCTACTACCTTTGAGTCTGACTGCCATTTACTAAGGAGGCCTGGTGGTGCTCTGGGTAAATGTTGGACTGCTAATCCCAAGGTCAGTGGTTCAAAACCCGCCAGCTGCTCCATGGGAGAGAGAGATGAGTGTATCTGCTCTGGTGAGGATTTCCAGCCTCAAAAACCCAAGACAGGGTCACTATGACTGGACTAGATAGTCGTGGGCATGGTTTTGGGGTTTTGTTTTGTTTTTGCCTTTGCCATTAACTAGCTGTGTGACTTTGAAGAAGTTACTTAGCTTCTCTGTGCCTCAGCTCCCTTGTGTGAATTGAGATAATGATAGGACCTACCTAAATGTTAATATAATAACATTAATATAATATATTAATATAATAAGGTTTCAGAACCATTCCTGGCACAAAATAAGTAAGATAAAAATGTTGGCTGTTATTATGCCCTCTTACGGTTTTAATGTAGCTTGTCACGATGTTTCATGCTATGTTTGACACACTTGCTTGGAAAAGAGTTGCTCAATGTTTTTCCTTCTTTCAAACTATTGTTAAGTCTCCATTCCATAATGACCTTCTTCGTGAAAGTTTGCCTCTGATTGCTTTTCCTTTCCTTTTCTGATTAGGCCCGGAGAAGAACCACCACTCAAATGGAATTGCTGTATGCAGATAGCAGTGAACTAGCTTCAGACACTAGTACAGGAGATGCCTCCTTGCCTGTCCCTCTTACACCTGTTGCAGAAGGGCGAGAGACTGCAGCGAATACAGAGACAAGTGGTACTTCTGCTAGGGAAAAAGAGCTCCTGCCCCCATCTGGCTTACCTTCTAAGATAGGCAGCATGTAAGTCTGGCCCTGCTACACTAACTTCCTTTCTTTTTGCTTTTTTAAAAAAAAATGCATGTTGCTATTTTCTTATGTCTTCTTTCCTTTTTAAAAGAAACTATGCAAATAAGATTTTTTTTTTCCAATCTAATTTCTCTTAGGTGTTGTTCCTAATTTTTAGGAATATTCAAAATCATTTGAGATGAGATGTTCATTTTTCAATTATGTTGTCTTGTCTGAGTTCTAGAATCATTCTTAAGGGTTATAATTTTTATAAATGCTGGGTTATGCATTACCCATGGAAAATTTATTTAGAAACATTTAGAAACTAGATCACTCTAATATTAAACCTTAAAAAATATTTATATGAACCAATCCTGAAAGACTCTTCAATATTCTCTAAATTACATGTTTTAGTTCTGAGTAGCTTGGCTGGAGTAGTAAGATTTTGCTGACTCTTTTAAAGTAAAAGAGTGGTATGTATTATAAACATAAGATATTCTGAGCGTCTTTAATTCTTTACCTTGAAGCACATTGTATTTTAAGATGAGGACATACACACATAATTTTGTTGGTATTATTACAGATTTGAAGGAAGGAATATTCTTTTTCCCACCTGTGATAATGTGAACACACACATTCCATTCAAAATAGAGCATAGTTTTTTTTTTCACTATTATTTTGAAAACAAAGAAAGATTTTCCTACAGAAGCCAGTAGGTGGTCTGTAGAGGGTATGTGTGCGCTGCTTACTGTTGTATATATTGCTAGGTGCCATGGAGTTAGCTCCGACGCATAGTGATGGTATGTACAGTAGAACAAAACACTGCCCAGTCATGCATCAGTTTCACAGTGTCAAGTTTGAGCCTATTGTTGGAGACACTGTGTCAGTCAATCTCATTGAAGGGCTTCTTTTTTGATGAACCTCTCCACATTAACAAGTAGAGATGTCCTTCTTTAGGGACTGGTTCCTCCTGATTTGATGTCCAAAGTATGTGAAAGAAAGTCTTGCCCATCCTTACTTCCAAGGAACATTTTGGATGTCCTTCTGTTAAGAGAGATTTGTACGTTCTTCTGGGGCTGCCAATCACAAGGCCAGCAGTTTGAAAGCACCAGTTGTACCACCAGAGAAAGGAGAGGCTTTCTATTCCTGTAGAAAGTTACAGACTTGGAAACCCATAGAGGCAGTTCTACCCTGCCCTGTAGGGTCTCCATGAGTCAGAATCAACTTTATGGCAGTGAGTTTGGTTGCTGGTTTTCTGGAAATCCATGGTCTATATTACATTCTTTACCAACATCACCATCCAAAGGCATCAGTTCTTCTTCAGGCTTCTTTTACTCGTTCAACTTTCACATGAATAGCAGGTGATTGAAAATCCTATTGACTGGGTCAGACACACCTTCATCCTCAAGGTGAGATCTTTGCTTTTTGACACTTTAAAGAGGTCGTGTACAGCAGCATGCTGTCTGATTTCCTGACTTTTCACTCCCAAGTCAATATGGATCCAAGTAAAATTAAATCCTTGACAATGTCAATATTTTCTGGTTATCATAATATTGCTCATTGGTCCTGTGGTAAGGATTAAGGTGCAATCCCTACCAGAGGCTGTGGTCTCTGATTTACATCACTAAGTGCTTCAAGAACTCTTTAATTGTAGCAGGCAAGGTTGTGTCATCTACATAAATTAGGGTGTTAATGAGTCTTCCTTTAATCCCTATGAAGCATTCTTCTTCATATGGTCCAGTATTTTGAGTGATTTGCTCAGCAAATAAATATGGTGAAATATGGTGAAAGGCTACAACCCTGATGTACACCTTTCCTTTTAATAAACCACACAATATCCTCTTGATCTGTTGGAGCAATGCTTCCTGGTTCCATGTGAGCGCACCGACATGCTCTGCTATTCCTTGTTTTTGCAATGTTTTTCATAACTTGTTATGAGCTCCACAGTTGAATACCTTTTCATAATAACACAAATAAACACTTTTCTGGCATTCTCGACTTTCAGCCAAGATACAACTTGATATCAACATTTGATATATGTTTGTAGTTATATTAAATTTATATCATCATTCACTGGTAAAAATTTTAAATGTTGCTTCTTCAAACTGACCCTCATATACACTCTAGCCAATTATTTATGAAATGACTATATATCTACATTAAGGAATATTGCCCCCAAAGAGGCATACACTATATGATTCTGCAAATAATAAAGAAGTAACCACACTTTGCCAACCTGGATGTCTGTTAGCTTTTAAATTTTAAATAACTCAATTTTATAAAGGTATTTTTTTGACTTTGAAGAAGTAGTTTTTTCTGCTACCTTTAACCTCAAATTTAATTTTAATGAAGTCAGAACTTTCCTGCATGTGCTTGAAGTGGCCTCTGTAATTAACGATGAATTGGCTGTTGGAGATTGCTAACCAGCATAGCTAAGGCGTCAGTGCTTTTGTCAGGGAGCATAAAACAAATGCTTGGGGACTGTCAGTGACCGGGAGATGCAGGCCAACTTTAGGAACCTGCATGTGTTCAGCATTCAAGTCTGTTAGGTGAATAGAGACTTTTGGAGCCCCAAGACAAATCTATGGCCTGGAATCCAGATTCAGGTAAATACCCTCTTTTTGCCTCTTTTTAGTTTTTCAAAAAATTCTGGTAGGATAGTCTATAAAACAAATCTTTTAGATTATTTTTCATGTTTCATTTTTAAATGTAACAATTGGCCCCATTTGGTGCAGTGACGGTCACAAGTCTCAGTACCTTGCTGTTTTGGCACCAAGCAGAACAATTTATTCAAATTGCCGCTATGATTTAAATTATTCAGAAATGCTAAAACGTGATTTCTTCTGCGTAAACAAAAACCAGGGACACAAAATTTAACCATATTTCGTTTCCACCATTAAGTGGGAACCAAGTAAGCCCATTCAGGGATCTGTTTTTTTAATTTTAATTTTAATTTTATTTTTCTTGTTAATATTACTAGCCAGTGATAGCAAAGATACTTTTTTTCAATTAAAATCAATTACACCATACACAAGAATCATAGTCTAGAACTTTTAATTACATAGAAAGTAGTCAATACTTAAACTTTATGATTAGACAATTATACAAAATTATATAACTACTTGTTATGAATTAATGTACTACATGAATATAATAATTTTATGTGTAATCATTGTTGTGATTGCTTATAACTTTATTTTGTGATTATCTAAATATTATTTCATTAAACATTATTATTTTTTATATTCTGATATTCTTATATATTATTTCTTGGGAAACCATATTTTTACTATTTTAAAACTCAAAATATTTTAAGCAAACATTTCTGTTTAATTCTGAATTAAATTCATTTTAGCTGATTCATTCTGTTTAATTCATTATAGCTAGTTTGGAATTGATGTTTACATTCAAATATAATAGTTTTTCACATATTTAATATGGTTATACAAATAACTTAAATGTATAACTGTTGAATTTCTAGCAACTAAAAATAATTCATATAATAATAATTCCCATATAATGATCTTTCTCAAGTTACAGTTTGTAATATATTTAAAATTTTAGGTTACACACTTAGGGAAAAAAATTATGTGCATAGACTAAAATTGGATAACTAAAGAATCCCTTTCTATTTTAGTTCCAGACAGCCATCTCTGTCAGAAAAAAGAATACCAGAGTCTTCCCCTGTATCAAGGAGAAAGGCATATGAGAAAGCAGAAAAATCAAAGACCAAGGAACAAAAACAGTAAGTTAATACTGTATTTTACCATCGTGACTGAATAATAAGTGCTGTACTTAGGTACCAAAGTATAATAGTGAAACTATTGTTTTCAGATTCAGGCAGTCTGTGGATATGGTTAATTTGACTAAAGAACACTATCAAGTCAGCAGTGAATGTGGCTAAGTGATCATTTAACGCCACTTTTACAAATATGTAAGCACTTGTAACCAATGGTGCAAACTTACATATTTCAAAGTTTCACTTGTTTTAAAAGTCATTGCATGTTTTATGAGGATTAGTTTACTTAACACTAGATGCTCTGACCCATTAATCCACTTAAGTGGACACTTGTAAATGGCAGCCCCACTGCATACAGAAAGTTGATGGGTTAGATGCTGTTAACCTTCTACCTTCCAGGATGCCCACTCCACCCACAGGTGACCTTCTGGGTGGCAAGTGGCATGGACATCTCTTACGGTTTTGAGAGAGGGTATAACTGCTGATCAGCATTTAAGTAGGCAAAAAACCAAACACATTGCCACCAAGTCAATTCCTAATTTCTCTAACCTTAAATACAAAAATAAGCGTTTTCTTGACCACTGTGGATGACTTTAGAGCTCCCCCGTCCAAGGGGACACACTATGCTTGGACCAGTGGTTGAGCTGACTTGAAACTCAGGAAATTACCCTTCTCAGTATCCTTGCTGCCTGTTGTTAAAGATGTGATTTTTAAAATTTGTTTGCAACGAATCAGACATCTCAGAAATAATTGTGAGGGTGGGAAATGAAGCCCAAGAAGGGCTTAAAAATAAATAAATGATTCGATTAAATAAGCAAATCACTCTTAAATTCTCTGTCTGTTTCCTCATTTGCATAATGAGCAGCTTGGTTTGGGCTCTGAAATTTTAGAAGTTTTACTTGCTCTGTTGGTCCTGGCATCTGACATTAGCAGCAGATTTTTTCTCTTTAGTGCCATCTTGTGGCAAATGTAACAAAATCCAGTGGAAGAATTTTTTTTTTAATTGCCTTGCACGGAGGGTATTTATTTTATCTTACAATAAAGAAGGAAAGGAAGGATGGAGCTTCCTAGTGAAAAAAATTTCATGACTTGTTTTTCTTTTTTTAAAAGCATGTTTCTTATAACTTTCCTAACTAATCATAACCAATTAAAGCCACCTATTTAATGTTCTTTTTTTTGTAGCTCAGATTCCGGAACCTCAGAGGCTAGTCTTTCACCTCCTTCTTCCCCATCAAGCCGGCCCCGTAATGAATTGAATGTTTTTAACCGCCTTACAGTTTCTCAGGGAAACACATCAGTTCAGCAGGATAAGTAAGTCTCTATGGAAAACAGCCCCAACTACCTATATCATAAACGGAGCCTTCCCGCACAGTCTGTAGGAGATCCTTCACCATCTCTGAGTGGGAACTAGAGTCCCATGTGTGAACCCTTACTCTGCTATGTGCATTTTCCCAAGGGGAAACCAGCTATGTAGCCCAAATTGGAAAAAAAATTTTCCTGCTGAACATTATTCCCTGTTGTAGATTTGCATTCCTGTGCTCGCATTACTTGTCTTGCCTTTTCTTTTGCAAGTAAATTGGAATCTGCATCTCTCTGAGACAGCGCACCGTTAAATGTCTTGGAATTCTCCAGCTTCTGTGAGCCCACAAAAACCTCTAATCCAGATAAGCTCAATAGAAAAGAGGCAAATTAGTTTACCTTTGTAGCTAAAACCCTTTACAAAGACTTTTATTACATGTGTAGCATGTAATTAATCATTAAACTATTTAAGATGTGGCTACCATCAAACCTTAGTAATTGTGATCTTGGAATGACAGAGGACCTTTGGGGGTGGGAAAGGTGGTGGAACATGGCAGAAGAAAGCTTGGAGGGGGTAGAAAATTCAATATTCATTAAATAGGAAGTGAAAAAAATATTCCCACCTTGAACCGGAATCTCTCATGGGAGAATTAAATTCCTGCCAGAAGGCTTTATTAAAACTCTGGATTGTCTGCTTCGATTTTGAATTGTAACATTGTGGGGCTATGCACTTGATATCCCACTTCCTGCCCCAATTGTTTGTTTTCTATACTCTTCTTTCCCTCTCTGTGTCAGTAGTCTCTGAAATTTACAGGATGCAATTTAAGACTCTGTCTAGAATGGAAGGTTTTTCTACCACCACTTTAAACTTAGAGAAACATGCTACCATTGCGTTAGTGCGGGTAGACTAGAGAAGCAAATCCAGGGAGACTCATGTGTATAAGAGAGAGTTTTATATAAAGGATAATTTTACATTAAGAAAGCATGCCAATTGACAGACCTGATTGACAGACCAGGCTCCACCCCTTCACTTTTAATCCTCAAATTGACAAATGATTATATAACTACCATAAACCACCCCTTGTCAATTTGACACTTTCATATAACTCTAGCCATATATAACTTTCAAACAAACAAAAATAAAATCATATCTGTACCTAACAGGATAAACCTAAAATGTGTAAAATTCAACATATGCCCCCTTCATTTAAACATAACATTTTGTAAGTGAACAAAATAAAAATATCCTATGCTTAACGGTTGCAGTTAAGTAACACCCACACGTTAATCTTATAATCCTATGAATACATATTCCCCCACCTATGAAAGTTTGTAAGCCAACCACTTCATACCTTTATCCTCCCAATTTTGGGTATCCAATTTCTATACTGCCCACTAACATCAGCCCAGTGCTCTCAGGAGACAATCTTTCTTTGATGTGAAGAATCTTCTTCCAGTCAGAAACTTGTGAAGTCTGCCTCCATAAGCAAAGTCAAATGAGGACAAGCCATCCATAAAGTCTATAGCAATATGCACCAGTTCCCAGGCTCAAATAGCTTCATCTGGTCAGTTCTGGTCAACTCAATGTGGGCTGCTTCACTTAGCCTCACCAGGGTGTCCATGGTTTGCCTCACCTTTAGAAAATAGTCCCATCACAAATTCTCAGCAAGCCAAGCCCTCTTGTGCTCTAGGTCATGAACCCACTCTCATCTTCTCCTCTAGTCAACCCACTCTCATCTTCTCCTCTAGTATCTGTAAACCAAGTCCACGGTGGGTATCAGTGGCCAGACTCAACCCATCTCTCTATTGCTGCATTTCTCCCACTTCCACTCCACAACTGGATCCAGGTGGTCCCCTAGCAAGCATTTCAGCCTGCCAAACATTCAGTCCTAGAGAGTTTTTCTTCATGGTTCCAGATTTTTTCCAGCTTCTGACAAAAACACTAGAGTTCAAACTTCAAATCCAAAGAGTTCCTTTTTCTTCAATCTGTCAATCATGCCCTTAGGCAGGTCTCTTGGAATGCAAATGTCCTGAGTACTCCAAAGCACTGGGTGGAGCTTATCCTTTCAGAGTCTTCTTTGAAGGCGTGTCCTAAACCATCTAAAGATCAAATTAATGGCTCAAGGCCAGTGGGTTTACAAGCTCTCTATTTTCATACTTCCCCAAATCATTTCTATAAATCCTTATATCCACAATAACAAGCAGAAGAAATCAGTATAACAAATTAGAATCATATATTAAAGTCAATTCTTGAAACAGTCATGTTCAATCCTTATTTAGTTTATGTAAATCCTTATCTAAACTATTCTATTGATACAAAAATTTGAGATTAGGCCTCAGAGCTTCCAGGCAGATCCATGCTTTCTGTCAGCCATTTTGACCTTTTTGTCAGCCATTTTATCTAAGCAGCATAGTTTCTGAGAAATTCAAGTGGAGATTTCTACCCCTGAGCTCAAAATATACATTAATCACATTCGTTTTCACCATTTCAAATAGGAATACCCAAAGACTACAACCAAACAAAATAATCAAAACATTAACTTCCCATATTCTTTCCAGAAAACAACTTAGTAGACATGGACATATCTAACTTCTGGCTAGCCAAAGAAGAAACACTACCAGGAGGGAGCAGTCAAGCAAACACTCACTCTCCATCTTTATGATTTGTTTCTCCGGTACCCCACTTCCAAGGTACCATAATGTGTTAGTCCAGGTAGACTAGAGAAACAAATCCAGGGAGACTCATGTGTATAAGAGAGAGTTTTATGTAAAGGGTAATTGTACATTAAGAAAGCATCCCAACCCAGTCCAGTCCAAGTCCTTAAGTCTGATATTAGCACATATGTCAGATACCAATGTATAAAGTCCTCTTCAGACTCACAAAGCGCATACAATGACACTGAATGCAGGACAATCACAGGCCAGTGGGTAGAAAGTCTTCCAGATCCTGTGGTGTTGTAAGCATCTCAGAGCTGGCGGGGTCTCTATATGGCTTCTCTGGCTTCAGTGGTCTGGTTGCAGCAGGGTAGATCCATCTGGCTCCTCCAGCTAAGGGCAGTAGTGTAGCTGCAATGTCTCCCAGGGAGTGATCAGAGAGAGAGTCTCTCCTGTGTCCAAGGAGGAAATTACAGGAGTTCCCAGAATTCACAGGAGAAGGCCATGCCCACACGGAGGCCTCATTGGCTATGATCCTATTGACAGACTTCACTCTTAATCTCAAATTGACAAATGATTATGTAACTACAACCATTAAAAAAGAAATCTCGATCAGTATATGACATGTCCTTTAAATTGATTATATAAGCAAGTACTTTTATGTGGAAATAAAGCTCCTTTATATTGTTAAATTGCATCATATCTTGTAATGAATTCAGAAAAGAGAATATTTGTTACATGAAGAATCACTCAATTCTATCTACCTGGTATTCACAATCACACATATTTTCTGTCATTCTTTTGATGGCATGGACTATTTAGTCATAGGCCCATATTTTACTAAATGTTTTCATGAGGGACCAGTAGTTAGTCTCTGTTACATCTTTAGAGGCTGTTGCTCCGAGTGGCACCTCCTCCAGTCTTAGCCCTGTCACTCCTTGTGGAGCTCCTTTTCGGGGACCAACATAGTTCACCAGCAAGTTTGCCCCACACATTGTTGCTGGTCACAACTCGCGTCCACTCTCATTGTCTCCTCATTCCACCCAAGGTTGCTATAAATTAAATAATTTTTCCTAGTAACCAGACTCACAGGTAATCTTGGAAACCTCAGATTACATCTGAAAGCAGTGAATCAACTAGGATTTAATTCCCTTTAAAATTCTCTGGCTATTGCTGAGATTTCCTTAGTCAAAGGGACTCAATGTTTTTGATATAAATTCAAATAAAAAGTTATTAAACTTAAGTAATTTTCTCCCCATGTAAACATAGTCTAAACTTAAAGTACTAAATATAAATGTAAAAATCCCATTAGAGTCGAATGTCACATTAGAGGTTAAACAATGTACTAAATAATAAAATACAAGAATCCCCACAAACAAATCAAACACACACTGCCATTGAGTCAATTTCAACGTAAAGTGACTTTCAGAAGTTGCAAATCTTTACCAGGGCAGCCTCATTTCTATCCTATGGGGAAACTGGTGCATTTTAACCACTGATGTTGATTCAACAATCCAACACCTAAATCCATGGTGCCACCAGGCCTCCTTAATAAGTATAAATATGAATGGAATGAGCTAATAGTTTCAAAAATATGAAATGTTTTCTAAAGTGTTTGTATGGATAGAAAGAACACTGAAGTGATGTATTCCATATACTTGGTATTGCTTGCCTTCCAGGACATACTTGTAAGAAGTGAGGAGAGGTTCTGTATGTAGATCAATACAAATGGCAAAAAATTGCCCACACCCTTTTCGTAGTTGAAACATAAGAATAAAACATTTTACCTGTCTTAGCTGCATTTTAAAATTGCTGGTATCCAGTGCAAATAGAAAAGCAGGGCTCTTTAAAGGAAATGTTTGCTGTGTCTCTGTGTTATCCATACTGTTAATTTTCAGTTCAAACTCATGTCTCTCCCTGTGGACATCTGTATTCTTTACTCTCATAATTCTAACTCTTTCACTGTAGGTCTGATGAAAGTGACTCCTCTCTGTCGGAGGTACACAGGTACTTTCTATCTTTCCTACGTTCGGGCCTTTCATTGATACTCTGAAAGACTTTCTAGAAATTCTTAACAGCAAGTCTCATTTTTGTTGCATGCCTTACTTGTTGCAAAACATTTGAATGCACTAATACTTTCAAATATATTAATTTACATATATTTTGTAGTCATGCTTTTTAGACAAAACAGTGGCAAACTTTTTGTATGCTTACTTTAAAATTGATACTATGTTCTGTTTGTAATCTAAATGTTGTCTTGAAGCAAAGTTAAGTTCTATGGACATTGATGTCAATGTTTGCTCCTCAGTGAGCAAATATTTTTATTATCTCAAGTATGGGAGAAAAATGAAGTATTTTTGGTGGCTGACTGGGCAGTTTTAAATAAACATTTATCGTTTTTTGCGGGTGTGGGGAGGGGTGTGGGGGGGTGACTTGAATGCCTAGAGGGGACAGAGGCTATTGTGGTCTTTTTTAACAGGACAAAGGGGAATATAAAGCAAAGGTTTAAAATTAAAAAATAATGTTAATTCTGGAGTAACTTTAAAAAATAACAATGTTACCTTTTCTATATTATGGATTTTTTGCCCCATTTTTGCATCTCTCTCGCCCTCTCCCCCCATCATGCCCTTTCCTCATTTATCATTTTGTTACCTCCTCTTTGCCCTTATTTTCCCTGTTTTATGGCCATTTTGCTGATCATCAACAGATCCTCCAGAAGGTAGGCAAGGAGTGGGAAAGGAAATTAGCTTCTTTACATTGATGGACTGATAGTTTCCATCAAATGGAAATAAGTGCTGCTTTTATTTCCCGTCAGAGCAGATCTGGTGTGTACATGTGCCATATTTAAAGAAACGACTTTAAAGTTGATTTTCCTATTTCAGGATGTTTGTAGTTTTTTTCTAATAGAAAAAGTAACACCATAGTGTTTCTAATTTCTATATTATTTCCATTATCTTTGATGAAAGGCAACAATATAAAACATTAGCCTTACTGTTCTTACTATATTTAGGAAATTTTAGCGCATTTTCCAGTATCCACCTTAACAAAATGCTGTAGTTAAACTTGAGGTTTGATTTTAAAGAAGTGCATAATGAATAACAGTAAACTGTGTAAGAATTTAAAAGGAGCATCCTGCTGTCCACAAAATACTGTGCCATAGTCACTAGAAGCAGATGCTACTGAACACTTTGGTCATTACAACTTTTGACATACTAACATAATTATCCTGAGGGTTACAACATCAGGGACATATTTCATAGATCCCTTAAAGATGGAACTGAAGGAAGAAATTCCTTGGAGATGTGAATTTTTTTCTTATGATGGTTTGTGTCATTAAATGCACTTCCAAAATAGCGCTAATAATATAAACACAAATTTTTCTTGTTGAAATAGCCATTTCCGTTCTGGCTGAGAAGTGACAGTAACATCTTAGTTATCTAGTGCTACTATAACAGAAATACCACAAAAAAGTGTTTGCAGACAGAAATTTGCGCTCTCATAGTTTAAGAGGCTGCAAATCCAAATCCATGGTGCTGATTAGTGAAAGGCTTTCTCTCTGAGTTGGCTTTGGAGGAAAGTCCTTAACTGGAAGCTTCTGACTGACCCTGGGCCACAATGTATGTGCATTACATTTCTGTCCATTATTTTTGATCTGTGCTCTTGAGCTACACCATAGTGAATCTAGTATCCTTTTTTTTTTTTTTTAATGACGACCTTTCAAATATTCAGATCACAGCTGTACCCTCTCTCTAATGCATGTTCTTTTGTCAGCTCAATAGGTCTGGTTTCATGATACAGTTTCCAGACCCCTCATCCTGCTGCTAGTCTATTTTGGGGAGATTCTAATTTTTCTGTGTCCCTCTTAAAACATGGCATCCAAACTGAACCCTGTTCCAAATGTGCTCTAGCCAGGATACCGTTAGCTACATTTAATTTCTTCTGAAATATTTACTTCTATTAAATAACCTATGGATAGTATTGGTGATTGTTAATAAGAAAAGCTTTTTAAACCTAGAGTGTAGTTAAATCCCTCTTTTCTGTTCCAACTTTGACATAAATTTTATGTTTTCATTTTAGCCCAGGGCTATTTTAGTGCTAAGTAGGTAATTTAAAATGAATGATATTTTGTTTCAATCATTTTTCTAGGCCATGGAATACAGTCTCTAGCTCTGTGATCTATCAGTTCAATAAACAGGAATAGATTCGTTTTCTTTAGGGCCAGGGTTAGATTAGCTAGGCATTGAAGACTTCCTTCCAAACTGACAGTGACATTGATCCTTTAGATCTGTCTGTCCTTTCCCACAAGGGTAGTGTGTGACATGCTTATTTGATGGGCCTGTTGGGGGCAGCATATATTCTTCCCCCAACGTGCTACCCGCTGACTTTAAAAATAACTTCCCTCAGTGGGTTACTGAGCTCATGTTACCTTTTATTGATGAGCACTTCAAAATGATTCTATAATGGCGTTTTAATATTTTTTCCTATGGGATTCAACAAGAAATTTTATTCAGTTATAATTTCTGAAACACATCATTTATTTATTAGCCTTTTTGGAAACTTGGACCCATGCTCTGCCCCTTGTATTGATCTTTATGATCTCTTAGAGTACTGACAGTGAGTGTGCCTCCACAATGGCATATTCTTTCAAGATGCTAGAATTGTTTCTTGACAGAAATACTAAGACTCAAGGCATAAAGCAGTGGCAGTAGCTCTAGCTTATCTCGGGCTCACATTTCTTCTTAATTCTTTTGGCTCTTTGCATCTCGAACCTTTTACTCACTAAGAAAATAGAAACCAACAGGATTTGCTTTATTTCTGTAGTTTCCCAATATTATGCCATTTGTCTTAGAAAATGGAAATATTTGTGGTAAGCATAATTTATTTCACTGCTCTGAACAAAAATCCATATGTATGGTATATATTCCATGCCTTTATTAATGCTCGTCTTTAGCCTTCCTGATAGCAACAATCTCAATGTTGAATCCTCATTTCACAGATGAGGAAACTGAAGATTGGAAAATCATTTCCATTTAATTGAATTATCTTCGTTTGTACCTTCTTAAGCTCTTTTAGCATAGGGACAATGTGTAGAGCCCTGGTGGGATGGTTGTTAGGAGTAAGGCTGCTAGCCAACAGGTCAGCAGTTTGAAACCACCAGTCACTCCAGACAAGGCTTTCTACTCCTGGAAACAGTTACAATCTCAGAAACCCACAGGGGCAGTTCCACCCTGTCCTATAAGATGATATCAATTCGATGGCAGTGAGTTGTTATAGCATAGTAAGCGGACCAATGGCATAAGGGAGAAACTCTTAAGACTAAAGAATGCTAAACTTGGAAGAAAGCTGCCTAAAAGCTCTGTTTTTGTTTGTTTGTTTTTGCTGCTGTTGTTTTAACCTTTCCTTTTTTAATCTTTTTTGAGATAGTCATTTTTGAGGCTTTGCTTGTTTTAGCTTCTCTGTCTATACAGTCATTTCTGTTTCTTCAATCTTGGGCTAAAATTGCTTTCTTAGTGTTTGGGTGGCATGTGTTATACTTTATCTGGCATGCCAGTTTATGGCATGGGTCCGCAGCTTCTAATTGTCCATCATGTCTACTTCTTCCTTATCAGAGCCCAGTATATGCTCATTGCTTCCCTCAGCTTTAGAGACGTAAAATTATCAGCAAGAAGAACAGAATGTGTCATATGCTTTGCTTGTTTCAGAATGCAGCTCCTCGCAGGTGCCTCATTAGTTGATGCACCCTTTCATCGCTATTACAATTTCATACCACGCCTCTGCTCTTTTGCTTTCAAATGAAGTGACAATGGAGCACTCTGGATGTTGTTATTTAGTAAGGTTCTTAAGTTGGGGAGACATCTATAATTTGTCTCATGCTGTAGCTATTAATTGTGACTGAAGTGACCTCCCCCTTCCCGCCCCCCCTTTTTCCACCACAGAGGCATAATCAACCCATTTCCTGCTTCCAAAGGGATCAGAGCTTCTCCACTTCAGTGCAGTCACATAGCTGAAGGACACACGAAGGCCGTGCTCTGTGTGGATTCTACCGATGACCTTCTCTTCACCGGATCAAAAGGTGGTAGCAGTTGTAGAATGTGAACATTAGAGAGTGTGTTTTTATGATTAAATTTTAATAGGCTTTGGAAGAAAGATAAAACTTTTTAAGACCGGGTCAGAATCTGAGAGATGATCGGGTTCAACCTCCAATGGTCTATAGATCATTGCACAGTTGGGAAGAAAGTAACTGTTCATGTTACACCAATAGATTGTGCGAGACACTGCCCTTCCGTGTTTGAGCAGCTATTATATACAAGGCTCTGAATCTAGTGTTGCAGATTATATAAAAGTTTATAAAATGACCTTGCACAGTGTAATGTACACAATGGTAAAAAGAATAAGATGGGGAGGACAAATGACCATTTCTTGAGTAGTACTAAGTACCAGAGACTGGCAGGCACTATACAAATAGAGCTCACCCAATTCTCACAGTAACCGCAGTGCCATACAGTTTGAATTTTACTGATGAGGGAATGGAGGGTTCAAGAAAACAAGTAACTTACTGGGATAAAGTAGTTAAGTAGAAGAGTCAGAATTTAAAACTAAGTCTATTCTAACTTGTTCCAACTCCTTCCGTTGGAGCTGCAAGCAATTAGAAGTAAACTATAAATCCTTTAAAGATCTGCAAAATAAGATTACTGGGGTTTCATGGATAGCTTATGTTTAGCTGTGAAAAGCAAAGCAAGTTTTGACAAGGTGGTATTGAGGATGAACCTTTGAGAATGGTTTCTCTATTACCGGGCAAGGATTGACAAACAAGATTACAGAACAACTGTTCTAGGGGAAAGGTTGCAAATTAAATATAACTTATAGGTACCACTTTATTAAGTCTTAAAAGTCAAAGACAAGATGAATCATCTGTAAGAAGCAGCTCTTCAGCAAGAGGTCATAATGGCTGTCTGAAGGATTCATAGCTACCTATCAAGAACACGGAAAACAGGAAGTTGTCACAAATCGCGAGAGGTAGCAGAGTTGCAGGTGGGACTACAGAAAAGGGAAAGGACAGTGACTGGAATACATCAATTACAGCAAATTAGGACGTTTCCAGATTAGTTCTGAGTCATTCGAACCATGTAGGTTGAGGGATGGTTCATAATCATGCCACTCAGGTACTCGGTTTCCAACAAGGGTATGCCCAACCAAGTCCCTGAGGGCATGACACCCCTCCTTGAGCCACCCAGGGCAATAGTAGCAAGCACACTCTACCCAAGGCAAATCTTTGCATTGTCAGTCAGTGTCAGAAAGAACACCATGGAGGCTTCACGTGGAGACGAGGGCTCCCATTGTAAACTGTAGTCTTCTAGCACACTTAGTGCTTAGAATTTCAGCTGGAATCTACAGGAGCCTTAGTAGTGTAGTGGTTATGCATGGGACTAACTGCAGGGTCAGCAGTTAGAAACTGCCAGCTGTTGCTCGAGAGAAAGACAGGGTTTTCTACTCCCATAAAGAGTTACAGTCTCAGAAACCCACAAGGACAGCTCTTTCCTGCCCTATAGGGCCACGTGGACTGAATAGTAGTGAGGGTTTTGTTGTTGTTGTTGTTTTAATACAGCTTAAGCAGAGGCATGGAGGTAAATGTGGGGTGTGTTTTGAAACTAAACCCACTGGGTTAAGAAGTAGAATGTATGTAACAGAAGTGGTGGACAATATAAAATGGTAAAGTGCAGGAATTGGAAAGCTGGTACATATTCTTCAGTGTTTAGGAATACTTTAAGATTCAGTTCAGTCAGCCATATGTATTACTCATTGTCTGTGACAGGAATATCAGAAACCAGCTATGGGGTAATGACCATCAGTCCCCCGGTTTAAAAAAATAAGAAAGGGAATCAGTTCTGTGAAAATATCATTATTTGCTAATGATTTAAATTAAATATATCTCCATGGGTAAATATTAGATATGTCAGAAAGACAAAATTATGTTCTACTATGTTTTATAGATTAAAAAAAATCCACCTTCCAGTTACTTCTGGAAAAGAAAGGGGAGTGTGTATTTGGGGTGTGGAGAGTGTTGTGAGAACGCGATCCAAGCAGATTAGTTTGAAGTTGCTGATTTGAGGCTGCCACTTTAGTATTGGGGGCACTTTAAAGCAGGACTCTTGATAAAGAGGATCAGATTTCATGTAATTATTTGAAATGTATGCAACAGACACTGATGATTTTCATGCAACCCTTTACCCAGCATGGCCCTGGACCTGCTGTAGAGGATAAGGAATAGAGGGAGGAGTCCTATTGCAGCTTAATCAAATAATTTCTAAGGTGTCTTATTTTGTTGCCTATTTATAGGAGAAACTTGTTTAAATATTTTATTATGTCAGTGGTCTTTCCTCCTCTTTCATCTGTTTCAGATCGAACTTGTAAAGTATGGAATCTAGTGACTGGGCAGGAGATAATGTCACTGGGAGGTCATCCAAACAATGTCGTCTCTGTAAAATACTGTAATTATACAAGTTTGGTCTTCACAGTCTCAACATCTTACATTAAGGTGTGGGATATCAGAGATTCCGCAAAATGCATTCGAACACTGACGTAAGTACCTTAAAGTTAGTATACCAACTAAGCCAAACCAAGACTACTGCCATGGTTGATTTTGACCCATAATGGCCCTATCGGACAGAGTAGAAGAGCCCCTCTGGGCTTCCAGATATGAGCAGAAAGCCTCACCCCCCCCCCGCCCCCCCACCCCAGCACCTGGTGGATTCAAACTGTCAACCATGTGGTTAACAGCCCCATGAATGATCTTCTGTGCCACCATATATAATGAAAGCAGAGTAAAATAAAGATGGGGGAAAACCTATTGAGAGAATAGTATTAAACAAGCATCAGGTATGAAACAAGAAAGGATAAACCAGTTAAGAAGCATATTTTATTGTAATTAACAAGCATTGACTAGCTAAGAATTAAAAAAACTATGGGTGAAACTGCTTTGATTTTAGCACAAATTTCTTATCTATAGGTTATGTAAACAATTGGAAAATGTGTTAGGGTGCATTTTCTAGAGAAACAAAACCAGTGACTCTCATGTGTACGAAAGAACTGTGCATAAAGAAAGGAAGACGGGGGGTGGGGGTGGGGGGACCAAGAGGGGAGTGCAACAGACCAGTGAAGGCAGCGAAGCTGCAAAGTCCCCAAAGAATCCCAATCAGAGACTTATGACTTGGGGGGCAGCACTTGGCACCCCATCTGAAATGATTGGGGACACTGAAAGTCTAAATGCATAACTGGGGGTGGGGGACACTAGACCGCTCCATTCCTGACTGCGGGAAGAGCAACATAGATTTATAGGATGCTCGCCTTTCAGGCATGATTGCTGAAGACTAAAAGGGGGTATGTTGTTAGGTAAGGGGGACCCGGGCTAGGTAATCCTGAAAGAAAGGGGGACTCGACTGAGGGTTTGTAACACGTCTTTCTCTTTATGTAACATAGATGTACTCATCTGATTGACGTCATGATCCCTGTTAGACTTGTGACTGTCTGTATGGTTTGGGTTTTTTTTTTTTAATGTTTATCTATCCAATATAGGCAGGATAGGAAATCTTACAGTGACTAGGCTGAGGGTTCCTGTGGGGCATGGTTGGGGAGGCGGCAGGGGAGGTGATTGGGGAGCCAACAATGACAGGTACAGGGGAGTAGTAAGTGTTCTGTAATTGACAGTGAGGATTGTGTAGCTTTTATGGTCGTGTTTGATCAATTGAATTGTATCTGAGAGGAATTATTAAGAGGTGAACGATGGGTAAGCATAATAGTGGGGCAGGAGGGGAAAAATATAGATATAAATGTATGTAACAAGGAAGCAAATGGACCTTGGACTTCTACCTAAATCTTGCCTCAGTGAAAGAACAGCTTGCTCTAATAATGTGGTATTGTATGATACTCACCTTCCTGACATGATTTCTGAAGACAAAACGGGTGCATAAGCAAATGTGAAGAATAGCTGATGGTGCCTGACTATCAAAAGATATAGTGTCTGGTGTCTTAAAGGCTTATAATTCACCAAGGGACCATCTAGCAGGGAAGCAACAAAGCCCACATGGAAGAAGCACACCAGCCTGTGTGATCATGAGGTGTCAACGGGAAGAGGTATCAGAACTACAAATACACGCAACCAAATAGATGTGAAGGGGCGTGGAAGTAGTGGAACACCAAAGTCCACCTGCAAGATAATTGGACAGTCTCTCTCAGAAGGTCACTTGGAATGGATGATAAATCCAGGGTGTGTTAATGGCACTGATGAACCACAAAAAATCTCCTCTAGTTCCTCCCCTTATTATTGAGGCTCTTATGTGATATACCTCAATAATCTTGTTAGATTTGCATATGTTCATTTCTATATTTAAGATCATTTGGAAGTCAAGATAGATGACCCTTTAGAAACAGTGACAGGCCAGTGGGTTGGAGGTCTTGTGGATCCAGTGGCGTTGTAAGCATCTCAGTGCTGGCAGAGGTCTCCATGTGGTTCCTCCAACTTCAGGGCCCTGGCTGCCATCAGCGTAGCTACATCAGTCTTGTCAGTAGAGAGTCTCTCAGGGAGTGAGTCCCTGTACTGCCTCCAGTGAGCTATTTATTTCCTTAGCACCTCCAAATGAGGTCACCAAGCTATGACCTGATTGACAGACTAGACTCCACCCCTTCACTCTAAATCTTCAAATTGACACCAGATTATGTAACTACCATAAGGACCCTTCAGACCAGGGGTCCTCAAACTTTTTAAATGGGCCCAATTCACTGTCCCTCAGACCCATGGAGGGCCAGACTATAGTTTTAAAAAAAACTATGAACAAATTCCTATGCACACTGCACATATCTTATTTTGAAGTAAAAAAACAAATGGGGCAAAAACACCCGGCGGGCTTGATAAATGTCCTCTGTGGGCCACATGTGGCCCGCGGGCCGTAGATTGAGGACCCCTGCTCCAGACTAAAGAAGCTGTTGGCTGATGAAGCCAGAACATGAATCAGGAAGCTGGTAGACCACAGGGGTGGATGCAGAGTTGAGTGTATTTTAGGTCCGTAGGCTCATGACAGGGGTCAATAGTTCCCAGGGTCAGCTGGTCACCTGAGCTACCATCCCCAGAAGCCAGATATAAGACGCAAGTGAGTAGGAAGGAGAAGAATGGCAAGAGAGACCAGTTCTCTACAACTCTCTTGTAAGAGACCACAACCCCAAGGAGACATAATCAGGCTGTGACTTGCATCTTCTTGGGGAGGGCTTACTGACAAGTCACAGAGAATTACAACGAGGCCAAGTTAACACAAACCAAAGTATCACAGAGAATGAGTTTTTTTCTCTCTATCTATTTCATATATGTCTTTAAAATATACAGCAAACTATTTTATTATGGTTTTGATAAATCACTTACATAATCAAAATTGAGCTGAACTCTTGGTTTAAATGAGAGATGGGAATATGGGAGAGGTTAATTTTTTACTGATTTATAAAAGTTACTAAATTTTTAAATCTGGTTTATAATTGGAAAATTACTGATTATTTACTGTACTAACACACAAATCAATTGAGGGGGATTTTGTAGAAAAAGAACATTATACTTTAAGTTAAAAACTCAATGCATTTGAATCACTAAAGTCAAATTTGAGAAGATTATTATGACAATATTTAGAGGTTAATTGAGAAAAATGTTTCATTTTTTTAAATAACAATTTACCACTAGAATTTATCTGAGAAAATACAAACTAGCCCCTTTAAGTCATTATCACATAGTAGATATTCCAAATGTGGAATATCTTATTGCAGATAATTTTAATGTAACCCCCCTCCCACCTCGCCTACCAAAACCAGAACACTGGTATCAAGTTGGCCTGCTATTCATAGCGACCCTAGAGGACAGAGTAGAACTGCCTCTGGGTTTTCTAGGCTTTGCAGGAGCAAAAAGTCTCACCTTTCTCCCAAGGTATGGCTTGTGGGTTGAGCCTTGCACTTAGCAGCCCAATTCCAAACCCACTATGCTACCAATGTCTTTAATGCAAAAGAGCAATCCTGTAAAAGAAGCCTTGGTAGGCCTGGTCCACAGAGGACTTCTGGAAGCTGTAGAAAAGTAAACTTCCTTTGTGTGTTGTATAGTAGTTAGGTCTTAGCTTTGATATCTAAGCCTTCCTGAATGGTTTCCCTAATTTGGGGCCTGGTTTGGTCTAGAATGTCTGGCATTGTAATAGTCATACAAGCTAAAAATGTCAAACCATTTTATCTTGTTTAATTAATTCATTTGTTCATTTGTCCAGCAAACCCAAGTGCCAACTTCATGTGAAATGCTCTGTGGGTCACTGTGTATATGTTGGCCAAAGTGCACCGTTCCATTGCTGCCCCCGCCTGTTTCAGAGGAATTCAGGGAATTCTAGGCCAAACTCATTGTTTTGTCTCACTCAGGTCTTCAGGGCAAGTTACTCTTGGGGATGCTTGTTCTGCAAGTACCAATCGGACTGTAGCTATCCCTTCTGGAGAGAACCAGGTCAATCAAATTGCACTAAACCCTACTGGCACCTTCCTCTACGCAGCCTCTGGAAATGCTGTCAGAATGTGGGATCTTAAAAGGTAGGACTTTACATCAAAATGTACTTCTTGCATATGGTAATATGACTTTCAAACATTAATAATGTATTGATACATGTGAGATCTGATATTCAAAGCCCTAGAAGTTACTATAACATCACAGGCTTTTCTATTCGGCCCAACATCCCTCTGTCCCTGCTGTGCTTTGCTTTATTATTAAGCGAATTCACAATTTTCCTTTAATTTCTGTTACTGAAGAGAACATTGTATAAAATAGAACTGAAACCATAACCTTGCTTAGTTTGGGGTATAAATCACAGGAAATTCTATGCAATAAGATAAATGTAAAAAATGAGATACTAAGAAGATAAAGTAGTTTAAAGGGGATTAAAATGGTGAATTCAAAGATAAAATATTACAGTTTTCATTTGATTTTTACTTGCCATGAAGTTTGAACTTTTATCCTTTAGCTGATTATTTATTTTAGCTCCTTTCCTACCTCTTGAGTTCTTGACAGCAAAAGATATGTTCATTTATTAGTTGCCAAATATTTATTGAGCACTAATTATGGCAAGCTCTGCACCCAGGTTATGGTAGATAGAAGGAATAAGGAATGAGCAAGACCAATTTCATGTTTGCCTTGTAGGAGCTCAACTTTTAGGAGAGGATGCAGACCGTTCGAGACGGCAGCTTCAGAATACTCGTATAGTCTGCCGAGTAGTCAGGTAGTCAGGGCCACCTCTCACGGAGAAAGGCGTGGCCAATGGTATATCAAATGGTAATTTGCCTAAGAAACATACACAAAAACTAGTTTAATGATTTGTGAAGTGTGACTGAGACAGTGTAGTAATCATAATTTATAGATGAATGGGTGAAAGGAAGAAGTAGGGGAGACAAAGTCCTGAGTCTTGTAATAGAAATAGGTGTAGAACATTGACGACAGGGTTTAGGGTGTTTGAAGAGAGATGGAAACTTGGTTTATTCTTGAACATAGTCTGTTGGAATCATGGTAGGATCGCTGTGCAGGAAGACACAATTATACCACAATGATTGGCGAAAACAACTTTTGAAGATCTTTATTGTTTTTATTTGGCTGGAAAAAATAAGCCTTTGACAACTGTTTTCAGCAAACTGATTAAAGTCGGTCCATTTTAACAAAGTAAGAGAGTAGTTTGGGAGAAATTATAGTATTCTAGAAGTTAAATATGTCTCCATCTCCCAGCAGCTTGACTTGAGGTAGGGTTGTGAAGCAAAAGTTCATTGTCACCCACTGATAACTGATTTTACACATCTATGGCCAAACCAGATCTTTCTCCTACTCTTTTTCATATGGCTACAATAGTTGATGGAAATAAATCACTTGCCTACTTACCTCTGCCTTGTCCTTGTAACTCTGATGGATGAATACACACTTATGTGTATCTAGATGTCTGTGTGTATGTGTGATGTATATATGTGCCTATCTGTAAATGTTAGGGTACATGTGTGAGTGTATATCTGGACATGTGTACGTGTATGCATGAACACTTGTTGTTCCTTATTGCCGATCCCCTTTCTCCCTCCAGCTCCTCTCAGACACGGTTTTGTTTACAGGTACGTATGTGCATGCAGAGTTGTGTGATTGTGAGAGTGAAAATGTACCTTCTTCATTTTGCCATTGATTTTCTAGTTCCATCAGTGATACCAAGTGGACCTAATAATTTCAGCCATATATCTACAATGTGTTTAGACATTTAACAGATTAAGATTTACCTGCAATTAGGTTGGCGTTAAAATTAGCCTTAAGCCATTTTTCAAACATTTGCTGCTTTTTGTTTTGTGCCTAAATGACATTGATCACCTTGGGAATAATTTCTTTAAGACTTTCCTACTGTCATCATAGCATATGGCCAGTGTGGCCACCTGAGTCTAATTTGAAGATAGGGTCCTGCTTGTGGAGCTAAAATAAAACAAACAAACAAACAAACACAATTTTAGAGAACAATTTTGTCAAAAGTATATTATTTTTGTTTGTTTTTTTTGAGGCTGGGCCATGGCATACTAAAGGATATTTTCTAACAAATTATTTTTCTTGCTTTTTACAGGTTTCAGTCTACAGGAAAGTTAACAGGACATCTAGGCCCTGTCATGTGTCTTACTGTAGATCAGATTTCCAGTGGTCAAGATCTAATCATTACTGGTTCCAAGGATCATTACATCAAAGTGTGTATAACAGTGTCATTGAATTGTGTTCTCTATCTCCTATTAAATAACTTTGACATTTTCAAACTCATCTAAGATTCCTTTAGTCACTTTTGTTTTTTCCCTTTTATGACCTTGAATTTTTCTTAATTTAGTGTTCCTAGTGGTTAGCGCCAACAAAGTATTTTCATTTTTTTCAAATAAAAGAGGTTAGAAGGGATTTTTAAGTTTGTTTAGCTCTGCCATCCAATTAATTCTTGAGTGTAGTAGTAAATACCTATTGTAGCTAGACTACTATGATTTCAGAATTTGTAAAATTAAATGATAATATGAGGAAAGAATAAGAGTATGATGCTGAAAATATTAAAATTGTGGTACTAACAGCAAGCTCTTAGAAATGCATGTCTAGAACTCAAGTTGTTATGACTAGAAATGTAGGTTTGGAAGCCACTAAAGTGAAGCAAATGTTCAAGGTCTAGATGACACAGCCAAAGGAGACAGAAGTTATACACTGAGACTTGGTGAATATATATAATAATAGGAATAAAAAGAGGACACGCAAAGAAAGAACAGTAGGAAGCTACAAAGGGCCATAGTGGAGGAAGGGAGTCCTTGTGACACACGCTACAAGTAGGTAGAACAGGAGGAGTGCCTGCGCCTACTTGGGGGCAGCTGCTAAGACGGAAAGAGCTCTGGTGACAGCGTGGGCTGCATGTGGGGCTGTTAACCACAAGGTCAGCTCTGGGAACCCACCAGTGGCTCCATGGTCGACAGATAAAAGTTTGCTCCTTTAGTAAAGCTTTACGACCTCGGAAACCCACAGCGGCAATTCTGCCCTGCCCTGGAGAGTTTATGAATCAGAATCCACTAGACGGGAGGGGCTTTGGGAGCTAAGACTGAAGGAGCCCGGCTAACATAGTGGGCTATGCTCTGGTTGCTAGCTGCAAGGTCAGCAGTTCCAGCCCACCAGCCACTCCACAGGAGAAAGATAAGACTTTTCACTCCCTTGTAAAGAGTTAGAATCAACTCAATGTCAGTCGAGTAGGTTTGGGGCTAAAAGTTAATTTTCTTTAAAAATGCAGCAGCAGAAGTTAGAGTACGATAAGTTGAAGAGTGCAAATACTCTTCATAGAGATTTTGATTAAGAAATGAGAGCCGTGTGAGCGACTTCCAAATGGAGAGGATTCCGTGTCTAGGAGATCTCAGCATGGCTAGATGCTGAGGATATGGACCCAGTGGAAAGGGAAGGAGAAGAGAGTGAAGGGGCAGCAAATGGTGAAATGGGTAGGAGGAGTTCCTTCATAGATGGGGACTTTGGAAGGAAGTCAGTACCCTTCAGCCTCTGAGAAGGAAGAGGAAGATTTGAGGATTTTTCAAGATGGCAAGAATATTTTAGAGTGAAGAGGGGAAGCCAAAAGTCTCACTTGCATAACCCTAGTCTTTAATGAGCATCAGTACTGTCAAACCACTGCCATTGAGCCAATTCCAACTCATAGTGACGCTGTAGGGCCAGGTCTCCTTAGGGCAGCGGTTCTCAACCTGTGGGTCACGACCCCCTTGGGGGTCAAACCCCCTCTCACAGGGGTTGCTTGGTTAATAACAGTAGCAACATTACAGTTATGAAGTAGCGATGAAAATAATTTTAAGGTTGGGGGGTCACCACAACACAAGGAACTATATTAAAGGGTCGCAGCATTAGGAAGGTTGAGAACCACTGCCTTAGGGCTTCCAAGACTAAATCTTTTTCTCTTTTTTTAAAATCATTTTATTAGGGGCTCATACGACTCTTATCACAATCTATACATACATCAATTGTGTAAAGCACATTTGTACATCCATTGCCCTCGTCATTCTCAAAATGTTTGCTCTCCACTTAAGCCCCCGGCACAAAGATAGGCAGCCCCATCTTTCTCCCATGGAGTGTCTGTGGGTCTGAATGGCCAACTTTATGGTTAGCATTAGAGCTACTTAGTAGTGATTAAGTGCCACCAACATGATTTAATTGAATTTCAAATGGATTGACCTCTATGATTTTTATTATTGAATATATTATTTCTGTATCATACATGACAAAATTGGCTCCTTTTCTTAAAAAGCCTACAGATATGTAAGCAAAAGTAGTGTGAGAATAGGACTTGGGTTCATCCTCAGTATCATTCATGCTAGGTTAATTGAATTACCTTGGCTAGCTATTGTAAGAAAACATGTTCTCTCTCTGATTAACATTTGTGTGTATAGGAATTTCTATGACTGTATATGTATTAGGGGTCCTTTGTGAATTAAATGGGATGGCTGCTTTCTTCCTTCCTTTTTAGATGTTTGATGTAACTGAAGGGGCTCTTGGAACTGTGAGTCCTACCCACAATTTCGAACCCCCTCATTATGATGGCATCGAAGCACTAACTATTCAAGGGGATAATCTCTTTAGTGGATCCAGAGATAATGGAATCAAGAAATGGGACTTAACTCAAAAGGACCTTCTTCAGGTAATACAGTTTTCACGGTGTGGAGCAGGTACTTCAACTGCTTGTATTTGTTTCCTATGGCTCCTGTAACGAAGTAGCCCAATTCATTTTTGAGAACTTCCAATTTTCCTAAATCGATGCTTCATATATTCCAAGTTCAGTTATTAATAGATGTTTGTTGCTGTCCTCATTTTGAGCCATGCTCCTTCAGCAAATGAAGGTCCTGAAAGCTTTACTCCATCCACGTCATTGGGGCTCCTCTTTCGGGTCCAACTCTGACTATGTGCTGGTGCTGATCAAGAGCTGGTCAGTACCTAGCAGTTTTGATGCTATCCATAATTTCAGCAGATTCTTTCTCAGAGGTGGATCTAATAATGCTTCTTCATGAAGAAAGTAATTAACAGAAAAAATGGTTCGCAATTAAATTTTTTCTTTGTATATGTATGGGTGCATGTATATGGCATTTGCTAATATTTTCCTGCTTGCAACCAGCAGATAAAACGTAAATGAACATGTAGCATAAATATCAGTAGAAAAACCTTGGCAACAGATGAAGAGCCCTCATTCAGAAGCTTTTAGTGTATACCCGTGTTCGTGGTTGAGATCTTTACATTGCAAGTATACGTATATTAATGCAAAAAACATAATCACATAGCCTGGTTATACAATTGTTGCTTGTTCACATTATGAAAGGTGTAGATTACTTCTGGTCACTCGTAGAATCTTCTCTAGCAAAGGTTTCAGCTTGACCTTATTTAATAGTCCCTGCAGGCTATGCACCAGAAGGAGATGTGCTGTTTGAAGGCTTCTGAATGCTCTCTTTGTATTTTAGAATCTCTATATTATTCATATTACAGGCCTTTAATATTCACAATGAAAATAATCAGTGAGGCAAGTTGGTGAGCAAATTACAGATCGATTTCTTTCAACTGTGAGTTGATTGTTTAGAAATGAACCTTTACCATTTCCAGACCACTCAGTGTTCCAAATCCTGAGTGTCCTGAGTAAAATGTGCTGCTGCTTTTTGGTGTGAAACGGTCAGAGATTGGAGGACTCGATTTAAGCTGCTGCTGCTGCCTGTTTTCTCTTGCAGCAAGTTCCCAATGCGCACAAGGACTGGATCTGCGCCCTGGGGGTGGTGCCAGGCCACCCGGCCCTGCTCAGTGGCTGCAGGGGAGGCATTTTGAAGCTCTGGAACGTGGAGACTTTCGTGCCGGCTGGAGAGATGAAGGGTCACGACAGCCCTATCAATGCCATCTGTGTTAATTCCACCCACATTTTCACTGCAGCTGAGTATGTTCTTCCAACGTGATGTTCCTCTGTACTGAGTACTACCTGTGTTCTCACTGAACAAATTGAATGCATGCCAAATAGCTAAAACCGTGGGAAATCTTTTTAGTTTAGTCATTTGGGCATCTGTTTTAAATGCCATTTGTGTTTCCTGATGTACATACAGTGTGGGCTCTGAGTGTAGGATCCCTGGGTTATTTAATAATAGCGTTATCCTTGTGCTAGCACGTGCTTATAATAGGAATTCTGCTGTTAGGTCGTCCACTGAGGATTTTACTATATTTAAAGTATAGAGTAATGGCATCTGTTTTTCTCACTTATGCATATAAAGTAATGACATCTGCTTCCCCTCTCTTATGCATAGTTGAATTGGTGGATTCATTTATTCATTCACTCACAACAAATATCCTATATTTCAGACTCTGTGGTAGACTTTTGCAGAGTGTCCCACCCACCCCCCAAAAACAAAACAACTCCCACTGCCATTGAGTTGATGCCAACTCATCACCGCCCACGGTAGTGTCTCCAAGACTGGAAGTCTTTATAGGAGCAGTCGTCCTCGTCTTTCTCCCTTGGTGCGGCTACTGGGCTTGAACTGCATACCTAACAAACAATGCCACCAGTGATAAAACCAGATCCAAACTCCAGTGTATGTTCTAATAAAAAGAAACAGAACATAAATAAAGAAGCTATGTTAAGTGGTGATAGGGGCCTTGGAGAAATAGCTAGCTTAGAGTAGAGATGGGAATGCCAGGGGGTTGATCTATAAGGTAGTCAAGGAAGGCAGGGGCACCAACTCCTTGGAGACTCTACCCCAATCTCCTGCTAGCCTATAGGCCTCACAGTAACCTTTTCTGGCTGTTGCATCTGAAGACCTCTAACCATCTGTCTGACACACCTGGCCTGTTTTCGGAGCTATGCATGCTGATCCAGTGCAGTGGTGTAAGGTGGGGGTCTGGAGCCAGGCTTCCTGGACTCAAATCTCAGCTCTGTCATCACCATCCTTGTCTCAATTATATTATGTAACTTCTCTGGGCTTCCATGGGCTCATCTTTAAAATGGAAATAATAACCATACTTACCTTTTGTGATACTTGAACAGAACTACATTATATTGAAGGTACAGATAAATAATACCCAATATATAGTAGGCCCCTAATAATATAAGCTATCCTTGGTTATCACTGTTATGGTTACAGATTTGGTCAAATTATAAGTAATGTCTATCTTTAAAGTTACATTTTTTGAAGATCTCTTCAGAAATAAAATGGAGGCCTACTGATCCTCTCAGGTAAGTGCTGACCTGGTCGTCAGTTCAAAGCTACCAGCTGCTCCACAGTTGAGGCTCTTTGTTCTGGTAAAGATGGACAGTCTTGGATACCCTGTATAATAAGGTTGCTATGAATCAGAATCAGCTCATTGGCAATGGGTTTTATTTTTAGAGGTGGGGAGATAGTTCAGGAACTTGTTATTCTAAGAGCTGTTTATCTTTCTGCTTCCTATGTCCAATTTTAATTTATCGCTTTACAGTGATCGGACTGTGAGAATCTGGAGAGCTCGGACTGTGCAGGATGGCCAGATCTCTGACACCGGAGATCCGGGGGAAGACGTCGCCAGTAATTAGACAGCAATGAAGGTGGTCATGAAGTGAGACTGTGACAGTATTCTGTATACCCATTGTGAAAAATATTGTCCTGTATTTATTAGGCAAAAACTTAAGAACGGGATTAACTGGAAACTATATCTGCATCCAACTGCTGAGTATAAATGGTATTCTAATGAAATTGTACCTATGCTGTGTGCTTAATTTTAATATCTACTGATGCATATATAACCTACACGTGATACCCTGCTTGAGTCATATGTTTGTTGATGCTAGAATCTTGAGCCTAGCTATAAAAGCAAAAAAAAACCCCAAAAACCACACTTTCCAATGATTTAAATGACACAATGTCTACTCTTGTGACAGAAAATACATCTGGAAGACAATGTGTAACCCACTGTTTACTCATTTGTGTCACCTGCTCAGATGATAGATGGATTTATATTTATATTGGGCAAGTAAATCAAATTGTACTCTACTTGTCTACCATTTAAATCTATCTACAAAAGGTTCCCCAAACTCTTTTACTGTAACGGGGGCGGGGAGGAAAGTGAGAATATTACTGGTGGTTTTTTTCCCATATAATGGAATTGAACCTAACCTACTAAGGAAAAAAATGTTTATCTTACTGTTGGCATTGACTTGTATTGACCAAAGTTTTGTGCTCTATTCTGTGCTCAGGACTAAACTGCTGTTAAATTGTTGTTTTATTAGTGCTGTGCATCATTCTGTGATAGCAAACAATTTTGATGTCCTAACAGAAATATATTTTGATCTATTTTCCTAAGGAGTTGTTTCTATTATTACCTTTTAATTTCATTTTTATTTAATGGTAGCATTTGCTTCCCTTTCTAAGTTTTTTTGATATGCTGCTAAATATATTTTAAATATACTGTGTTGTAAACCTTGGTAGCTATGATGAGCATTGTATCATCTGACGTTGGAGAAGCTATGTAAATAGGGAGATTGTAAAGAGAAAACCGTACATTGTGCCTGTATGAATTTTTAAATGCTGTAGGTTGGAGTTTTGCAAAAGATGTATAATTTATCCATCCGCTGAGCATATTAATTTGTAAATCCTGAAAATTTAATTTTTATGTGGATGGGTTAACATGGAAAATATTGTCTGATGTATTTCCCCCCTTGACAGTACTCGCTTGTAAATGAAAACTTAGGTAGAGCCTCAATAAACATGTTGCCAGAAAATACTTTTATCCCATTGTTCTTTTTTCTAAGGGTAAAAAAAAACTGTTGAAAAAAATTATAATATTTGTGTGTGTTATAAAGAAGGACATTCATCCTTATCTAGTAATTTATACATATTTCTTTTTTTTGTACAGTAGACATGACATATTGAAAAGTTCCTTTTTTTAATGTCAACTAATATTGACAAACCAAAGAAAATCACCACTTAATTAAAGGAATTAAATCAAGTGGCATAATTTAGGGACTGGAGCACAGATGGCAAAAACGAAAACAAGTGATGCCCAGAGGTGTTAGCAAAGTGGCCTGCTAGGTGACCCGGGGAGGAGAGAAGAGATAGGGGCTCGCTGAAGGTTTCTAGGAGGCCAGGTTTCACCGCAGTTCAGCATGGCGAGGCTGCTCATCACCAAGTTGGTGGTTTGGCCCATCCAGCAGCTCTGAGAGTCGAAGACGTGGCGATTTGCTTTTGTAATGATTTATAGCCTAGAAAACTACCACTAGTCACCATCAGCTTTATTACTTAGGGATCACTGTGAGTCAGGGAACTTGATGGCACTCAGCCATGGTCATAGCAGAGTTCTAGCAATGTTATATTTGCTGATTTGTGCTTTATGGGTTATCTATGTGTATATGTTAGATGTGAAATTATACAAGTATTTATTTTATGCCTACTGTCTTACCTTCTTTTGTACATAGGGTTGCTCTGAGTCAGAACCATCTTGTTGGCAATTAACAATAGCAACATACTTCACAGTAAAGTATTTATTCATAAACAAAGCAGGGTTTTCTATTGAGACAAATTTACTATTTTTCAAATTTGCTTTCTTCTCTGGTGGAAAGTACGATATGAAGACCCACGTGATGCTGTCATTGACACTGTTTTGAACTTATACTCTTGTTCCGTCTCTCCACAGGAGAATTGTTGAGCAATGTATTCATCCAACAATTCATTTATTCGGTGTTTATTTAGCTACCCTGGGCAAGGTACGAGGGGTGAAAAACAGCAAGATTGAGGTGATGCTGGCCCTGTGGGTGGAGCATAACAGCCTAATAAACGCTCTTATAAGAAAAGCCTGAGGAGTAGACCTGATAAATCCCTCCAACCGAACCATCGCCATCAGGCTGATTCTAGCTGCTAGTGACCCAGTAGGACAGAGTCAAACTGCCCCTTACAGTTTTAGAAACTGTAAATCTTAATCAGCACAGACCGACTCATTCCCTGTGGAGCAACTGGGGTGTGGGGGTGAAGTTGAACCTAGGACTTAGCAGTTAGCAGCCCAATGCTTAACCTCCTGTGCCACCGGGGCTCCTTGTAGTGCACCACAACAGCATCCTGCCCTGCCTGCAGGTCGAGTCAAAGATCTCTTATTTGTCCTGAGCACTGGTTGTGTAAAGCACAAACCCCAGTGTCTATTTTATCATTTAAAGTATTGATTTGAGTAATTCAAATGAATATGTGAAAGAGGCACCTCTCTCAAAAGTTTGTATATTTTGCAAGACAATTGCTAAACTTTAAAGGCCCCACCAATATTTGTGTGTGCTTATTTAGCATTCGAGCCCTGGTTTCTCCTTTGCCTGAGTGGGATGTGGAAAAGGTGATGGTGAGCCGACCTTGACCACGTGGATGCGGACCACGTGGATGACCACCTGGATGATGGTCCAGCATGATGTGAGGCTTTCTGTAAAACAGCCACCAGATCCCTCAACTATATTTTCTCTGATCGAGTTTCCTCTTCTCCCAGATGGTGTGATCACTGGTTTGGGATCCCCCACCAGCCTCTTTACCCCCTGGGATCATCAACTATTTTTCTGTAAAGAATCAAATACTTAATATTTCAGGCTTTGCAGGCCACCTAATAGTTGGTGTCACAGGTCTTGAGGGTCATTAAAAAGTATTCTGAATGTCACACTCGGCCTGCATGCCATTATTTACCAATCCCTGTTTCATGGAGAAAAGTAACGTGTTGGCCATTTAATTTTGAGATTGTTTGTTACATTGCCTTCACCCTATTCTAACTAATACGATATTCGCCCATGTAGTTATTGCCTTAGACCAGTGGTTCTCAACCTTCCTCATGCCAGGACCCTTTCATACATTTCCTCATGTTGTGGCCATTCCCCAACCATAAAATTATTTTTGTCGCCACTTCATAATTGTAATGTTGCTACTGTTATGAATCGGGAGACCCCTGTGAAAGGGTTGTTCGACTCACAAAGGGGTCGCAACCCACAGGTTGAGAACCACTGACCTATAGGATGGTATATTGCAGACAAGGTTTCTACAGAGAAGAAATGATCACTAGAGCTGCCATGCGGAGTTGCGCGGGTTGCACACTGGACAACATGAGCACCACTCATTGCTAGACATGGTAGATTTATCTATTTGTTGCAATGAGTTTAACACTGATAGCAGTAAATTACATTGTTGTAAAAAATAAGAATAATATACCAAATATTTTACCTATAAAATGAAATGTACATTCAGGAAGGTAATTTTTTTATATAACTTGAACAATTTTCATGACTGACACAAGCCCTGATATCCAGAACCTAAATTAAAACACTTTTTAGTAAGTAAGGACAATTTAAAAAGTTTTTTTTTTCCCCTTTAACTATAGTATTTTGGTTACTCAGGAGCACTAGAGGTTTGGCGGGCAATGCATTGGGCTGCTAACCAAATGGTCCAAAGTTCAAACCCAGCAGCCATTCTGTGGGATAAAGATGAGGTTTCACCGTTCCTACAGAGTTCCAGCCTCAGAAACACTAAGGGGCAGTTGCACCCTGTCTGAATTGGAATCAACTCGATGGAAGTGAGTTTGATTTTGGATTTTTATTTTCTTGGCTGTTTAGGAAACTCTAGCTTAATGGAATTTTAATTCAGAATTCAAAATTTGAAGCAGCATTCTGTTGTCTGTCAAATCTCTCTCTTTAAATATATATAGTCTCCTGCTATTTAAATGTGAGGATTTGAACAAGATGGTTGGTATAAGATGGCTAGAGAAAATGCAGCTTCTCTAGCATTCCTAATCGGTTAAAAATGAAAACTTCGACTAACAAAGACTTTGCTCCATGGAGATTTTTCTAATGTTGTCTCTGGGGTCCAAGTGAGTGGCAGGGCAACCAATGAGCCGGGCACTTGTTCCACACGTGCCTCCTGTCATATCTGTTATGGACACTTGCCGTGGTCCAGGTGGCTCTGACTCACAGCGACCCAGTGGGACAGTAGAACCGCTCCAGAAGATCTTCCAGGCCATCGTCTTTGTAGATATGATTGCCACATTTGGCTCCCCCGGCGATTTACTGATTCAGAATGCTGACTTGTTAACCAGCAGTCGAAAGCTTCAACCACTGCCCTCCAATGCAGGCGTGGCTGTGACTGCTGCCTGCTTGCTTGCCTCTCCCACCCACACCTCCTGTGGTGAAGTACTGTTGAGTCCGTTCCGAGCCACGGAGACCCTATGTGTAACTGAACATAATACTGCCGGGTCCTGTGCCATCCCCACAACTCGTGCTCCGTGTGAGTCCACTGGTGCGGTCACGATGTCAGTGCACACCTGCCAGCGTTTGCAAAACCTATGGTGGAAGTCAAGTGTAAACATCAGAGTATAAAAGACACCAAGTGTGGACCTGGTAGATATTTTTTGTTAAGATTATTCTTAAATTTTAAGTTTTATTATAAGTTATGTAGTATTAAATAAAATTGTGGCACTGAGGGAGGTGGGGGGACCAGCCCCCACCCGCTGCTACTCCTACGAGTTCAGTAATACTACTTCTGGGTTCAGTGATGCGCAATTGTACGGTTGAGATATATAAGCATTATATTAAAGACATTGAGAGCATGAGAGATAATACAATAATACAGTCAGGCATGTTACATAGTACCATTGCTCACCTCAGCCCAGCTTGGTGGTCCACGTGGAGAGAGGGGGAAGGGAAGGAGGGGAAGGGAACAAGGGAGAGGGGAGTGACCAGGGGGTGAGCAGCAAGGAGCTCAGAGTCAGAGAGAGATCTATATTGCTGGCTCACACCTATATACCTTTTGGGGGCATGCCAACGTAGAGACATACGTCACAGGGAGGGGTTACACTATAGGTTACACAGCAATGAGAGGGTGGTCTAGGGGGTGGTCTCTGGATCTCCATAGGAACATTATCAGTAGGGTGAAAACTCCGCCTACAGGAGCCTGTCTATTGTCCCCAGAGGCAGGGAGCAGGCCCACCCCTGTGGAGGGATGAGACAGCAGTCTGGCAACTGATTGCCCTCAGTGGGGGAATGCCTGCACATCTGACCTCCCCCCACACATAGTAAAAGGAGTTGTGCAATCATCATTACAATCAATTTTAGTATATTTCCTTCTTTCTCATACTCATTATTATTATCTGCCCACTTCTCCCAACCTCCCCTGCCATAACCCAAAGAAACTATTCATTCAATTACCACCTCTAGAGATTTACCTACGCTGGGTGCGAGATTTCATATAAAGAAATCCATACAAAAATTAAATGAAAAGACCCCAAAGAATAAAACAACAAGGGAGTAGAAAGCTTGATCTTTCTCCCAAAGAGCTGCGGGTGCCTTCGAATTTCCAACCTTGTGGATCACAGCCCAATGCATAGCCACTTCAGTACCAGGGCTCCTATCCTGGGCTAAGTCAATGATAGTATGAATAAGCAGAAGGACCTATGCTCCAGGGAGGTCATTAATCATATTTTCTAACATAAAATAACAAAGATGTCTCTTAAGTGAACCAGGGGCATATATAAAACAGATATAGGAATGAATTTGGGGCTCACACTTAATCCTAGTCCCATTCTAAGAATAATTAGTTCTTAGAACATGGCTGTGCTTGATACACACCTTCATGTAGTGAAGAAACTAGATGTTGCCTGGCTAGGCAACAAGAGTGGTGCCTGGGATTTTAAAGGCCTGTTCTCACACAAGCAGCCATGTAAATGCAACACCAACTAAGCCCACATGGAAGAAGCACACCAGTTTGCATTATCCAGGGATTGTAAATAGTATAATCCAAATCCAAAGGAGGAAATGGCATCAGAGTTTAAATTGTGACATCGTAGTTTGCAAAAGGCTGTCGATGGCAATAGAAGTCCAGCATACCTTTGCAGAATCTACATATAGAGTAAGCCTCCAGTGAGTTCCCTCTGACTATAATTAAGGAATGGGAATATCCTGCTTATCAGACAAAGAATATTGTAGAGACAATTATAGTAGTTTAAAATGAAACATCTGATTTGCATGGTTAAAACATAACATCTGATTTGAATGGCAATATTGTAACATTTGATCTGATCCCCTTTTAACACAGCTAAAAGCATTAACAGTTAAAAGGGGGTGGGGGGGGGATTCTTGTGGATGAAGCCTCTGTCGAATTCCCTCTGCACATAGACCAGGCATGGGAAGGACCTTGCTATTGTACAGAACGCGTGGGAAAAGGACGATGACATTGTAGCTAGGTTGAGATCCAGTACCTTGCCATTTGATCTCTTTCTTTTAACACATGTAGAGTTTGCTCTAGTTTTTAATATTTCCTGTGTTCTTTCAAACTGGGGTTTATCTCTGTTGTATTTTGCTGTCGTGGGTAGCCTTCTCGACCCTTCGTTGTGTATTTATTTTTCTATTATTTTCATGCAGGAAACCCACGGTGGGTGAGCCTGTGGGAACAATAACTGGATCAGGGCTCCCTGGAGGCACACCAGGGGAGGTGGGAAATGAGGCGCGAGTAACCAGGAGTACAAGAAGGAAGAAGAGGTTCTAACACGGGCTGTCTTAGTGAGTGTGTAACACTTCTTCATATCACTGAATTGTTGAATTGTACGGTGTCTGGATTGTCCCAATAAAGTGTTTTATATTTTTTTTAAAAATTAAGGCAGATATGGCTGTCAAAAAAAGAGAGGAACGCCCCCTGGAGCCCTGAACCAACCCTGCACCAACTGACTTATTTGCATTTCATGCTGGAAATAAGGCTGGAGAGTCCACTCTGATTGGGTGGGAGTGCACAACCAAAGCAATCCCGGGAACAGTCGCCGTCCATCGGGGAAGAAGCCTTTCCTGGCCGATGGCCTCTCCCCTCCTTGCTCATGCCAGCTCTTGTGGCTCTCTAGCCTGGAGCCTTGCCTTCTGCTAAAAATGTGGAACCTTAATAGCCATTGTCTTTATAGAGCAGTTTTGTAAAAACTTAAAAAAAAGAAAAAGAAAAGAAAATGCTGATCCCGGGTGCAAACGTCTTCATCAGCGATTTTTGTGCGCAGCCTATTTCTGTACTGCACCGTGTGCTCATCGGCTCACCAGGTAACCCATAGAAAGGGCTGTTCTTCTTGACAACACTAAGCCAGCCAGACACTTACACCCAAGGAAGGCACTGCTGTGGGATTTGTCATTCTGCCGCTGAAGTCTTCCTTTATCACTAGAAGTTTCTTTTAGCTGTATGAAACAGATCATGGAGGATGTTAATACACCACATCCTTTTACTGGCCGCATTCTTCAGTTCAGCCATCCAATATGAGGAACTGCTCAGGGAAGGAGCATGAGTTCCAGCAGAAAAATGGCTGTTGTTACACGCTATTGGCTTCTTTGCCTCTTCCCACATTTTTCTTACTTAAATTCTTTTCAACAACAGTGTGTGATTTTCAACCTTCCAGTCATAACTGACTTTTGTCCCAGAGAAATAGTTATGAAAGTCTAAGCTGGATGCAAAATCTTACATAATAATGTTGTTAAATTTTACTTTGACCTAAGATTATTAATTCTTTCTGGAAATATTGGTAAATAGTTCAATATTGGTTTCAAATGGATGTATTGTGCTATTTACTATTGGGTTCTGAAAGTTCATACTTCAAATCTAATCAGGCTATATGTAATGCTATCCAAATTTGAGTAACATATTTCTCAATCGGATACCTTTAAGCTACTGTCTTAAATACCTTTAAGCTACTGTCTAAAATACTACAGAGATAAGAACCAAAAATCCTGTAATTTTAAAAAAATTATATGAATTTGTGGAATTTCACCCTTTGTTTCCTGTTTCTCTTTCTTCTTCTTTCCTAATTCTTCTGAACTTTTCCCCTTTTGATCTCGAGGGGTTAGTTGTTCTAAGGTGTTTGTAATCCCCTAGTGCTATAGTTTCTCTTATAGACCCACTTACCTTTTGGCTGCATTCAATTCCAGATCGGATGAGTGATTATGAGAAATCCCATAGCCTTGTGATTTCTCTCAATCTCTATCTGATCAGTCTTTTTGTATGTTTTTGAATCACTACTCATTATAGTAGGATGTAGAACCTTGTCTCTGTGGACTCTGTGCCAATTGACCTTGATGTGCCCTTAGACTATGGTCCTGAGCCCCTAGGCTCAATGCCTCATTCCATAAAGGTGTTTGGTTGTGTCTAAGAAGTGTTTCTAACTTCACCTTCTGTATGCTCTCCCATACTCTTAGATATAATTGTAGCAAAAGTAAATAAACCAAAATTGATGACCATAGTGTAGATTCTGATTCGTAGTGGCCCTGTCAAATCTGCATAAATTTGTGGATGTACTCCCAGTCTCCTACCCATAGCAATCTACTCATAGATCGTCTTTATTTCAGGATTGTGTGTATAACAGTATTTACCTCTCTTTAACTCCTCCCACTGTCTTTCGTGGCCTTTATCATTTTTAGCCGACCACTCTCTTATTGTATATGATCTCCAATTGTCTACCATATATTACTATAGAAAAATATCAGAGAACCTATTGGTAAGGGTAAATTGTTTGGTGAAGCAAATGTTTGGTTTGATGTGTGTGTGTGTGTGTCTGTGGATAGAATGATAGAAATGTGTTCCTTACCGTGGGTCATGGTGGTGAAAAGCAAGTCAAATCCTGGTCTAAAGGATGCTTGGTCAAGGACCAAGGATCAAACCATCTGAGAGAAGCAGAGACTTACTCAGAGAAACTACAGCTGAGCTATGTGGTGAGTGAAGGTCTCTCAGCCCTCTGCCTTAGAGCCTTAGTACGGGTTTCCTCCCTCGCTGTGGGGGCCTCCTTGATGCCATCGTCTCTTCCTGGCTTCACTACTAGAAGCATGGAGTGGCACGCTCTGTGTGCCTCTGTGCAGCCATGAGAATGTTCTAACTAGACCACAACTTAGAGTGGATTGTCACTTTATAATTTCATTATTTGTGACCAGAAGTCTTTATGGAATGGAATTTAACAAAACCTGGACTTAAGGAATCCTTAAAATGTTCAAAATGTCAGCATGCAACCAATGATTGATCCCATAATGTGGTTAATATTATTGTGCATAATGTATTTACATCTCTTTGTGAAATTTGCTGCTTTTGCAGGTTCTCTACCTCTGACAGCAAAATAGCTATGCTTATCAAAATCAAAATAGCCAGAAAAGTTACCAAGCACATTTTTTTGTGGTTTTTTTGTTATGTTTTATTTTTCAAGCATGAAAAGAATGTTGGTATTTTGCTGTTTAATAAAGAGTGAGGCACTAGGTAACAAGAGTGATAACATGACA